GATGAGACCGAGTCCGTTGATACTTGGGCCTGAAGTGACGCTTTCTATAAGCCCCGGATTATGGATGATAGGTGAGAGAAATGGAGCATTTGGTTGAATGAAATTTGCAGGGGAAATCAAAGTGCTCGGAGGAAACCTGCCTCATTGCCACTTTGCCGATCAGAATGCCACGTGAACGAACGTGGGTTACATGATCATGTTGCAGCGCGATCGTCACAGAGCGTCATGTAAATCGTTCTGCCATCCACACGGAAGAGGAGGAAGCACGCGGGTCAGTGGTATGCGAGAACTGTAGTAAAGGTGTTCTGTTAAAATGATTTTATAAGTTGACTGTCAGGCCGTTGAACTTGTTCAGGACCTGAGCACAACTTCAAAATCGGCCTTGGCCATTTGTCTTCTCGTGTGCTGTCCGAAAACATAAACATTAGAATATAAAAAGTGTAATTTTGCCTGTGGTTCTGTATGGGTGTGAAACTTGGTCTTTGACATTAAGGGAACAACATAGACTTAAGGTGTCGAGGAGAATATTCGGACCGAAGAGAGATGAAATGACAGGAGGTTGGAGAAAACTGCATAATGAGGAGCTTCATAACTCGTACTCTTCTCCAAGTGTAATTAGAATGAGGTCGGCAGGGCATGTAAGATATTGGTGGCAAAGCCAGAAGGAAAGAGATCGCTGGGAAGACCAAGGCATATGTGGGTGGACAATATTAAAATGGATCTTAGACAGGTAGGATGGGATGGTATGGATTGGATTGATCTGGCTCAGGATAGGGACCAGTGGAGGGCTCTTGTGAACACGGTAATGAACCTTCGGGTTCCATAAAATGCTGGGAAATTCTTGAGTAGCTCCATAATGAGCGCTTCTCAAGAAGGGCTCAGCTCTGTGAGTGAGTGATGCGTGTTTAGATAAGCTTCATTCACTGAAGTGTTCAGTTCAACCGTCTGTTGTACGCTAGGGACATTCGTAATTAGATTTCATAATCAGAGCAGGGCATGCCATTTTGTGTATTCTTTCCCCCTTGCTGCATAAAATGAGCGCAGGTCGGCCTGTTTCACCAAAATTTCCCAACTAATGGTGTTGCTAGTCTGCACTATAATTCACCGACCTTATTTTAATTTTGCTCCGTGTCGGTCCCATATAATTATGCTTATCATATGAAGTCCAGATTGAACTTCGTTAATTTGGGGGGGGGGCAGCGGCTCACGCAATTTGATTTATGGCATAAAGTATAGGTCTCGTGAATATTCACAACTTTCGTTTTAATCGTCTTCCGATACGGTGAATAATTTCAGAAATGGGAGAGAAATCTCGTTCCTTTCTCTCTAATATTATCATCAGCTGTTAACAGCAGTAGATTTGTATCTATGCTAACTAACTTGAACTTGTGTGTCCGTTTCTGTCGTGCTGCTGTATTCATTCTGTGAGCCTGTTTGGCCGAGGCTGTAATGCCCCTGTTCTGTACCAGACGGTACACTGCCGAGCTCAGCACGCCCTGTAAAGCAGTTGACCTCTCTTGCTTTAATGACAGCCTTGCATTGAAATCTCTTACTAAATTGCTTAATATGATTATCACAGTTTTCTTTCGGATCAAAAAAGAGGAGGCCCAGGAATGTGAGGGGATTATCTGTGTTGCCCTTGCCTGAGGTCATCTAAATAAAGCTAATGGCGACACCATTGTGATGCAATCACATGACTGTGAGACGCGAATTATGCCAAACAAAACACTGATTGTGCACGGTTTAACTGCTGCATGGGACTTCTTTTAATGCCCTCTCATCTCCTAGCCAGTCTTCGAAGTAATCGTTTTCCCCACAGAATTTCCCACCGATATTCTTTACGTATTTGCCTCAGAATCCTTGCTACGTGTCAAGCACATATCCCTCGATTTTGCTCTATTAATATTTCCCTGCATTGTTATATTATTTGTTCGTCATTTTACCACAGTTAGGGATGATATAGTCGCGGCGTCGTCTTCACTCCCTGTAAACGAACTGGATTCCGAGACCGGAATATTTTGTGAAGTTACTCTCGGTCGAAGTGAATGTCTCCAGACAAGTGGCCCTCTGGTCTACACCTGTAACCGTCTCAATAAGACTTGGCGGAAGTGAGGTATAGCTGCATGCGTTCTTGACCTCAAAAGTGGACGACGATGAGTGAGGCCAACCCTATAACCCCTTGGAAAAGAGCTGACGTTACCCATTGAATAGGGTCCCATGTTCCACCGGTCGCCCAAATCGTGGCTTACACTTCGGCCCTGATTTAATCCGTTATCACTTTTCAGGTTTCTCCACCTTGAAACATTTGGCCGACACATGTTGGTTAGGCGCGTTGTCTGTTGTATGCTTTATTTGCGAGCACTTTCATTACCACAGTGCTTCTGGCCGAATTTGCATACTTCCACGTTTGGACACGAAATTAAGAACTGGTAAAAGTGGTTATTCTACGGCCCGAGTTGTCGGTTGTTACGTCACACGCAGGCGAGGCCAAGGAACATTAAATCGCGGGTTCAGTATAGTAGTCAACTCTTATTTATTTATGTGCAAACTTAACAGTCCACATGCCAATTACAAAGCTAGCGCGAGTTAGAATAATAATAATATGCACTTGAGTCAACCAGGCTTATGAAATGCGTCTTGCTAGAAACAGTTAATCTTTTGTTAATTTTTATTTGATTACTGTTTTCGGGGGTGAGTAGAACTGTGTTGAAGCAAAGAATGTCATTAAAAATTAAATGGTTGAATTCTGTTTTGTTTAGTGAATACAAAGTATATGATATGAAGCTTTATTTTAACGACTTCATTTGTAATAACTCAAAAGGTTACATGTTTCGGCATCAGCCCTACGTCGCCGTCAGACCTTTTGTATAATGTTATTGAGTGTGCTGCTTCAGGGCGAAGGTAGTTACGAGACTGAACAAAATAGATAAGTACGTTAGCCCACAAGCAGCACTGCTGAATAGCATGCGGAACTGCTCTCTACGCAGTCTATAGAAATGTGTGACGATGGCGTGTTTTTCACGCAGAACCTGTAACCTTTTGAGTCATTACAAATAAAGTTATTTAACTGGGCTGTTTAACGTATATTTAAAAAAGAACTTAGTCGTTTAGAATGTGTTTAGTTGTATGAAAAATAACCCAGAGACGTTGTTCCAAGCCGGATCGCTGTCAACTACAGAAGCTGCAGGCATTACGAGAAATTCTGTTTGCAGGGAATAACTTAAAATCAATAAATTGCGCGGATATGTTCTGTATTTTTGTTTCTCGGAGGCCTGTTTCAGAAAGTGGCCGTGAGTTTTACCTGAGCGGCCTCGGTATGCATTATACTAAGTTACAACACTTGCCGGAAGAGCAGTTGTTTTTCCTGTGCTTCTTTTATAGCATGTATGTTGCTCAGAATGACTTGTAAGCATGACCGATAATCTACTGTTTAATAAACATCTGCTTTGAAGCAAGTAAACACGTTTACTTCACTGATATGCTTAAGTAACTTTGAACTGTAGCATACTGGCTTCTTATATGGTGAAGACCCATGTTTGCGTGTGTTTGTGGCTTTGTCGTTTCTGCATCATCTCCAGCCGTTTTTAATGGTATTAAGATTTCAATTGAATTTAATCTGCAGATTTTGACACAACCAGTTCTTTGTGGAATCGATCCATAGCAAGGATCTACCTACAAAATAGAAAAATCAGACCTGTGTTCCCAGTGAGATTCGAACACATGGCCCAAGACCATACTCGTCTTAAACAACAGTGATTCGACGGTCAGACAGTACTTCCCTGCTATGCGTTCACTTCTTGCATCGAGTGACAGTCCGACCCCTGTTTACACTTGTCAGCGTCCGGTACAGAATTCCAGACCCGTTATAATCCAGCAGCAGACCTTTTTATGGGCACAAAAACTGTTTTGGAGGGGGGGGGGCACCCCAGACAGAAGAAACTCTATGAATGCGTTCATTGGAATATTACAAGTGCTGATCAGGGATTCAGGGGGTACTTCAGGGGTGGCCAGAGTTCAAGCAACGAGACTTTCTTGCCATCGTTTTCCTGTGCGACGCCCTCTGTCCTGCGCACTTGACATGAACTTCACGCCTAAGCTTTTCTTTGGACAGTTGATAAAAAAATTCCATGTTAATTGGACGCAAGGTACCAAACCGTTAACATAAAAATTCGCCGTTGAACACTGTCTTGGACAAACTTAATTCATTTCACACGTTCAGAATATGTACTAAGACAAATAATACCGACTCCCTCAGGCGGGATATTTTCCCCTGACGAAAATTTTGCAGGCATTTCTTGGCGCTGATACATGCTAAATGCTTGCCCTTCTCGTCTGTTATTTAATCGCTATAAAACTGTTATATGGAGTGCCGATAAACGAAAGGAACCAAACTCCAGGCCACCTCTCAACGTACTGCCATACGAGCTGTGGGAAGGAGTCGCGCGCGCTATCTGGCCAGTAGCGGCCACTCAGTAAGCCGTGAAATTGCAGACAACATATCCGGTACTACTTCCGTTGCGATTATGCATTGTTGCTTCGTCCGTTTGCTATTTTGGGGGAGGGGTCACGAAAATAGCTATTGGCCAAAAATGAATAATGGAATTTTACTGAACTTGTGTTCGTTGTAGTGGGGCAGAACTGATTAATGGATTCCAAAGCATGGAATTTCACATTTCTTTCTGCACTTCGATGGCACATCTTTATACACAGGCTGTGCGGATCGTGTTGGTAAAGTTCCAAGAACGAAGTTTATATTTTCATGCATTTGTATGTAAAAGTCCCGTTGCTTAGTTCAAGGAGGCCAAGCGTTTTTAAAACAAAAATTCTGCAAGCAGTTTCGAGTGCATAGTGGGCGTCCGCTCCAGACGTAATGGTTATACCACTGTCTGGGTTGCAGGGCGTGCAGTTCATGAAGGAGATGGATGCATCGCCCCCTTTACATCCCACTATAAGAATTCCACAGGCGGCCTTGACATGATATGTATATTTTTTTATTTTAGGTTAACGAGGAGAAGGTTGAGGCATCAGAAGCTGTGGCCCCAGCTGAGGCAGCACCGACCCCTCAAGAGGTTCGTAATACCAGAGTTACAATTCTCCCACCTCCTTTCAGCATTTTCCTTGAAACTGAATGAATGCAGCAATGTTTTTTAAAATGTGGAATATCCTCCAGAGAAGATACAAGGCACATGGTGGGAATAGTTGGTCGACCGTAACCATACTACTTATTGAGGATGCGCAGAGCTTCCGTGTATACTCCATCTTCCATGGGAATGAGGGTGCATCATCATCTGGGACGCAGACTGTTGCATCATCGTTAAAAAATTACTAATTCTGCAGGCAACATGCTTTTTTATATTCATGTGCCAGTGGGAAATTTGCATGTATGTACTTTTTTCCGTGAGGTTGCCTACAAATGTATGATATACCCTGGTTCTTGGAGTTGGTGGATTTTATCAAGGGCAGCAGGAAAGGTTGCCAAAACATCACCCCGGTGTTCCCAGCTTGCACAGTGTACCCACCTGGGCCTTGCTAAATTCCCTTCCTCTCTTCAGAGTATCTCTCCAGAAAATTGATGGTGAAGCAAATTACCAAGGCAACCCCATGGAGCTGAGTCCTTCTTGAGAAGCCACAAGCCGCTGAGCTGCTTCAGCATTTTGTAGTATTTTATGGAATGCGAAGCTTTATTGCTGTGTTCACAAGAGCCTGTCACTGGCCTCTATCTTGGGACACAGTAATCCAGTCCATACCACCCCATCCCCTTTCTCGAAGATTCAGTTTTATATTTGTAGTATGATATGAAACAAAACATTAAATAGGAGACAGACTGTTCCATCATATTTCTCTGGAGCAAGCTTAGTAAGACTTTCAGGGTGGTTTGTTGAGATGTACATGTCTTCATTTCTTGGGTGAAGACACTGTTCTATGGCAGACTAGCTTGCCATTCTCAGAACTGTTATAGTCTGACTGAGTTAATTCTCATACATGTATTACCAGACAATGGGACTGTGAGAAATTAAGAATTTGTCACTTTGCCGTGAAGTTGGAGACTGCTTCTCTGAAACACTGATAGACCTGACCACCACCGTACAGCGTTACCGCAAAGGCCGCGCCATAGCTCAGGCGATTAGTCGCTGGCTTCCCACCGCGGCGGCCCGGGTTTGAGCCCGGGTCTGGTCAAGTGGGATTTGTGGTGGACACAGCGGCGCTGAGGCAGGTTTTCTCCGAGTACTTGCAGTCTTCATTCCACCAAATCCTCCATCATCAGAATCACCTGAGGCAGGTACAATAGGCCAATCGGTGGCCGACGTGCCGAGTGGACCCAGCTGGACTCCACCCCCCACTATGCGAATACAGCGTTACCACAAAAGTTGTTGTGGTGTTAAAATTCCCCTTGTTGCTGTCAGAGCGTACAAGGTTATGTCGCCCTGTTACAAAACAAGATTGTTACACATTTTCTAATGTGGTAGTGAGAGTAGTGGATTTTTGTACAGCCTGGTTGGCACGCGGTAGCGTAGTTGACTGAGGCACTATGCCACAAGCTGGAAAGTTGCGGATTCAAGTCCCGATGAGGTCATGGGAGTTTTTCAATTGACCTGATCCTTCCAGCTGCACTATGGCCCTGGGGTCAACTCACTCTCTGACAGAAATGAGTACCAGGAATATTCTTGGGGGTAAAGGGCTGCCATCTTTGAGCCAATTGTCTAGAAAATGTGGGAACCTCAACATCTCACAACCCCGTGGGCTTCCACGGCCTGTTACAGGGATACCTTTACTTTACTGGTTTTGATTACCCTCAGTAGCGCTTTATGATGACCTGCCAGTGTGTCCATTGTATAATTTTGATTTTTATTCAAAATTAACAATCTGAAGCACTAATTAATACCATGGTGCAGGTTCTTTCTTGAACAGTTGATATTTATGCAGTTGGTCAAGGATGTAATATTAATTACCAGCACCATAAAAGACACTACCCTAAACTAGTTCACTTCCTCACAACATTTTTTCCAAGATCCGTTGTCCATTCTCCTTCCTCGTCTTGTGCCAGGGATATGTGCATAGTTTCAGAATATCTCACAGCTGTGATTTAAAACTTTGTTTTTTCACTGTAACAGGAAGCAGGTAGCCATGCAGCAAATGACAACGAAGTTACCGAGAAGAAGGAGGAGATCATAGCTGCTGAAGTCGAGACAAAGACTGTGGAGCCTGCTGCTGTCGAGGCACAACCTGTACAAGTCCAGGAATCAGACAATGAGGTTTGTGTGCCAAACTGAAGTTCACAGTACCTGTCATGAGCTGAGCCCTGAATCTTGGTACTGACATATCTAGAACTATCTAGCACTCAAGGTGCTCACTGTAGGTATTATACAAAGCCTGAAAAATAACAAGTCTTTTTTTTTTTTCTGGCAAATTTATGTATATTCGGTTATGTGACTATACAATTCAGTGGTTTTGTGTCAATCATTTGGATGTGGTATTCTCTGGTTGTAGTGTGTGTTTTAGTGGTACATTTCTGTTTATCATAATTCATGGGTGATATTAGTTGACAGACCAGAGAACTGCATTAATGTCCATGATTTATTCTAACCGTCTTACAGTGCATACATTTATTCACCTTACTCTTCTCTCTTGCACTACATGTTTCAGCACAAAAGTGCCATCTTCAGGTGCTTTTCGATGTACGTCAAACTACTTCATTGCATGCCCTGTTGTCTTTATACTAAAATATATATTCGTCATATATATTGATAAATTTTAAATATTAAAAATATTAAAACTGTTCAGGATTTGTCATCCTTATGTTGTATCTCAATATGCGAGTCACACCTATCTTCTTCTGTCGGAGTATTCTTCCTACTTTCGTGTGTGTATTGTGCTTTGTGTTGTGTCTTGCTCCTGTGACTGCGTGTGTTATACTGCTGGGCCTGCTGGGTATGTGTCTGACAAGGTGAATAAATATATGCACTGTAAGATGGTTAGAATAAATCATGGACATAAATCAGTGCAACAGGACACTAAAATATAACATTGTGAACTGCATTAAATGCTTAACATAGATCTCCCCCCCCCATTTGTGGCAGTCAGATCCAAGGCCTTTGCAGCAAGTTGGACTTGTTTCTCTGAGGATATCAGATTAAATGAAACCATAGCACTATGCAAATGTTGAAGACTGTTTATTAATGACTTGTCAAAAAATGGCAGGTTTATTATGAGAAATCTGTAGCATAACATTTTGCTTTGCAGCAAAAAACACCTGCCAGCAATTCTGAGCCAACAGCTGAAGCACCAGCATCCATTCCAGCATCAGAAGAAGTCCCTCCACCCCTGCCTGCAAGTCCACCACCCACAGAAGTGGAATCTGCATCCATCACAGAACCTCAGAAAGTGGCAGAGGTCATAGCACAAGTGGAGAGCATCCCAGCAGAACCAAAGGACACCATTGACATTCCAGGCATTGCAGTTCAGCCTGCATCTCCTGTCCCGACTCCAAAAGTAGAGGAAGATGTGGTAGCCAAAATAGAGGAACCAGTGACACCAGCTCCTGTTGAGGAACCAAAGATAGAGGATGCTGGAGTTCCAGAAGCAGTAGAAGCTCAGGAACCAGCACTGGTTGAGGAGGAGAAGACTGAAGCACCCATTCAAGCTGTGGAACCAGTACCCCTGATAGAGGATCAGGTGCCAGCTCCACCTGAAACACCAGCTCAGGTAATTGACCTCAATTGTTGCTTCTAACAGTAATTACAGGTTGAATCAAGTCACTTTATTTCTTATTTTTCATTGTCTTCATTTAGTTTTCTCATTTTTGCAGGTTTCCCATTCTGGAACTGCATAATCATCAGTCATTCTAGTCTCCCTTCAAATATTTTCATTCCAGTTGGTTTCCATTGAACTGATTATTTTGAATAATTTTTGCCACACTTTCTGTCTTCTGCACGTTGTGTGCTTTTACTTAATTTACCAGAAGGTTTCCCTTTTTCTGGACTGATATGTAGTGCTATGCACTTCTCAGAGAAACAAAGGTAGGTCATCCTTTGATCTGAGAGTTTGAGAATACTGTGCTCTGTTTTTAGATTGAACCGGTACCAGTTCAGACATCTGAAGTCAAGACACCCGAGACACAAGAATCAGTTCAGGTGAGCTGCTGGCATTCTAGTGTTTTTTGTGTAGTATTGGGTCCTGTGTTATACTTCCTCTCATTTAAATCCCATAGCCAGACCCATAATGAAGAGAGAATAATGTTCATTACTGACCATTAAATCATGCAGCCCTATATAGAGCTCTTCATTGAAAGATGACCCACAAAATGACAGCATCAGGTATCATGTGCATCAAACTTGTACATGTGGTCATCAGCATTTATGATCAAGTTGCTGTTGAAAGTGACGACCTTTATTCAGAAGTAAATTTGATCATAATATGATTGTGCTTTTTGGCCCAAGTTTTGGATGTGTTGTCAGAGTTACAGACTGATGTCAGTACTTAACAGGAAATTGTGCTCAAGTACCATTCCATCAAGTCATGTGGGGGGGNGGGGTGTAAGGTTCCACACATTCTTAACTTAGGGTCTTAGATGGTGAGCAATCAGCTTCATGCTTCAACTGCTTTATTGCTAAAGAATGAGCCTCATTGTATAGATGATAAGGTAACCTGGTAAGATTGCAAAAAGAAAAATTCCTGCCCCTGGCTAGAATTGACCCTAGTTGGCAAGTCAGTAGACAGTCACAGGGTTTTCATAGCTTATAGTGGTACGGATCTGTTTGCTGGCCACAAAATGATACCCAACCCAACTCTTTGGAGTGTTGCTTAAATACAGTGATATTCATTACAGAGTAATACAGTGATCCTTAGCGGCCTCCGTAGTCTAGAGGTAACGTTTCCACCTCATAACTCGTAGTACGCGGGTTCAAATACCCGGCGGAGTTCATCGAATTTTTAAGGGCGGAAAAATTCAGGGAACAAGTCCTCTGGGAGGAACTTTAAGTCGTGGGTCCCATGTCGTAGCTTTACGGCACGTAAAAGAACCTCATACCTCCAAAGGAGGTCACTGAGCAAAATTGCGGACGTTTGCCGCCCAACAGCAGTCACTAATACCTCCGGTAGATGGGGGAAGCATTATAGATACTTCTCAGCCAGTAGAGCCGGTCTCGCTGGCTGGGCGGGACTGATGGTAAGCACCAATACCGGTAGGATATAGAGGCTGGTAGAAATCATAGAGGGAAGCACAATGGACCACTACAGGTCTAAGTGCATGGGGAAACCCACCCTCTCTAATAACTAACTAATACAGTGATCCTTGCTTGGAAATCCCATTTAAAATGTTTCCCACAAAAAAAAGATATCCCACCTAAGAAGAGAAATTTTATGTACACTTCAGACATTTTACATGTTTAATAAGCTTCTGTCTCATTATATAACATATATACAGAGATGATTGAGAAATTAAATAGACACTCAACAGAAATCAAAGATGTTACAGTGCTTAGTGGCACTCAGTGGCACCCGGTGAGCGGCAGAAGTTGTGCAAAATTACCAGTGACTTTCTGACCTCCATCCATCTAGTTGGTAGTGTAGTCTTTTTGTGAGGTTATGTACAGTGACCATGTGTTGAATTTTGTGGAGTGGCATGAAAGTAAATTGATACATGTATTGTACAGCTGTATGCATGACTGCAAAAACACATAAAATGTATGTTTCTGAGAAAGTGAAGGCCATTAAAAAGGAATAACTTCACATACTGATGTCTGCTAAATAATGTTATGGCAAACAAAATAAACATCCTTCTGCATTGTGTAATTATTCAGCCAGACAGGAAAAAGTTAAAAACTTCTTAATGTGAGATTGAATTGGTGCTCCTAGAATGGTTTAGATAGAAATAGGCTTCGTATATACCAATTCAAGGTCCAATGTTCAAGACAGGAGGCTGAAGGAATGGCCTTAAAACTAAACATTGACTTCACATTTAGAAGACATCCTGGGCTTAGCTACAGAGCCATAAACAGGGAATTCAGAAGTGTAATTGAAGAGGAAGTAAGTGTCTGGGAGTACTTCCATCACTTTGAAGTGAGTACCATCCAGTGTTGTGCATTTTAAGATTATGAGGAACCAGATGGAGTTAAAAGGATTTCTGTGTGTTTATACACGTGAGCCTGCAGCTTTCCCATACATTTTATATACAGTTTTGTATCTTTAATATGTAAGAGTTACCCAAGTATCATGCTGGAGAGGTCTGCAGTGGCATGTTATTCAAACCAAATTTCACATAAATTGGTGAATTAGTATTACCAATATTTGTGTGCAAACCAGACAAGGCCAAAATACATTTACCTCAGTAACAGAGTTCATAAGGATGATTTACTTGCAATGCATACTAGAGGAATAATCCGATCAACTAATAAAGTTAGTTTAATTTTCACAATTACAGCAGTTGCCCTTTATGCCATAATGGGAACTATTTGACACAACTTTTATAATGTCAACTATCCATGTTCATTTACTTTACTTTCTCAAGCAATATTTATCTTATTCTACACATTTTATGACCTAGACAGTGCTGTATTAAGATCACCATCTTTACTGTAGCCTAGACAGTACTGTGGAATTTATATTGTGTTTGTTCTCTTTCCCAGGCATCCAATGAAACAGCCCAGTCACCAACAGTGCAGACTGCTGTTGAAGAATAAAGCTGCCCTTCCCTCTGTGGTGAAACAAAGTTACAGTTATTGGACTATTCATTCCTCGTGGACGGACGGACAGATGCAGAGTTGTGTGGCGAGTGTTGCTGCTGGAAGATCTTCCAAGGCCTAATCAGCTCAATACCCAAGCAACACTCTAAAATTCTGCTGCCATTTCTTTTGTATTGTGACACCTCAAGAAAAAATACTCAAAAATCGAAGCTCATTGCCACTAACAAAGGGTTGCTGTGACCTGTTGCTAGTGTCTTTACAGTGTGCAAAAAAAGTCACTGAATTGCCTGACCTTGGGGATGGGTTTTCTATGTGTAGGTCTCACTTGTCACTGCATCACAAAACAAAGATACAAAACAATTTTTGGATAATTTTTTGACAATTTTTTCAGAACTATTTTCTTAAGATGTTTTTTGTATGTGTACTATTTAAAATATTTTGTATTGTTAAGTGAGTTTTCTGCTTTCTTTAGATTAGAATTATCAATCCATAAAGAGTCCAGTTAATCTTGGGATCTACTTTTTGGGGGAAGACTCTCAATATAACATAACACTGGAAATTTTTTACAGATCTCTACAGTGAACAGTATGCTATTGTAGACTGGTGTCTGCTTGATGTGCCCCATGTTTCAGTACTTAGTCTCTGCAACAGCAAAACACCTGGCTGGCAGCTAAACTGGGACATCCCAGCAAAAGACAACGAATATTCTTTCCCCCTGGTGTTACAGTGTTTTTGCAGAGTACATTGGTGTGTTCCATAGTAAGAGAAACCCCAAATTGCATTTTTCTGCTACTTCTGATTGTCATGTGTAAATGTGTTGGGGGGTAGTCACTGTGATTATCAAAGCGTTACCCATCAGTTGACGTGCCCCAGTTCTCACAGTAATCACTGTTACAAGAGTGGACTATTTTATTGGCCAATTGAAGAGCTACATTTAAAGAATATAGTAAAATAGGTATATAAGATTTCAGAAGAGGGGTGCGTTTGTGTGGCAAGCAGAATATATTGAAATGGTGAATCCTGTACGTTGTGGCATGTATTTGTAAAGTGGGTTGGTTTTGGCAAACTGCGTCTCGTTTACAACCTTCATGAAGAGAGATCATAGGCTTTTTGTTGGACAGACACTAAAAGCAAGGCAGCAGCCATAACAGGTTTCACCATATGTTACGAAAACCATCAAAGTTGAGGAGAAAACGTGGTTTGGACTGTAGAAATGGTTTATAATTGTTTGATGTTCTGCCCCTTCCATTTGCTTTGAATATATGTAGCATAAAAATAAAGATATATAGGTGCTTGTAAAGACCAACCCTGTGTATTGTGAAAAGTGAATTCATTAAGGAAACAATAAAGCAGATCATTTATTACTTTACACAAGGTTTTACATATTTTGGAGTGAAGTTACACTACATCAAATTGAGGTTCACTAGCCTCCTCCTGTTGTGGAGACTCCAACTCGATTGTAACTGGTCCATCATTCTGAATGTTCACCTGCATGTATGCTCCAAACTTTCCATCTGACACAGAAGAAACCTTTATTGTGGTGTAGTTATCATGCAACCAAGTGATGGCAGAAACATGTTGGTTTTGAAGTGAAATAAATTAAATCTGAATCATTTATTCCCCTACCTTATCTGAGAAAGGGAGAAGTCACGTGTTTCCAAAACTCATCATTGTACAATTCAGCAGAAACAGTATATAGTGTGTGTGTGTGTGACGCTTTTTCATAGCAAGTGCTTCTCTCTCTCTCATTTATATATGATAAAATATCATCCGTACAGCACTACGTTATGTGGAGTTGTTATAAGTACTTGATGTTTCTGGTTCAGTTTGTATCATACAATTTTAAGGATATTCTGTGCTGCTGACATTAAAAATACTAAAGTAAACTGGAAAATCTTGCCATTCATTTGATATATTTTTAGGTGTAAATGTATTTTCTGTTTGTCAATTTATGTTATAAAGCTAAAGAAACAAGACAAAATGGTTGTTTAGAATTCAATAACACCAGCTAGTAATGTCATCCTTTGGTCTGTGAGTGCCACCCTGCATGTAAGTAAGACAGTCTTCACAAACTTCAACTGACATGGGCATGAAGGACATTGGACTTAATCGTTTTCTAAACATTGAATATAGATGGCTAATTTTGACAAATATACACCTTATATATACACCAAATATACATCCTTAAATACAAAAATATTATATGAGAAGATACTGTCAGTCTGTGATTTTGACAGATTTACGTGCTTTCAGCCCCCCTGAATACAAAGACATTGTTTATGGAGTTCCATCTATATGTGTATATGAGTATATACAGATGTAGCCCTTGCTAGCACTTAAAATGACTGAATGGATTTTATTCATATTTCTTGACCCAAAAAGTAAGGGCCTTTCAGATGGGCCCCTGAAACAACAGAATTTTCTTGAAAATGACTGTAATGATTTTGATTAAATTTTAGTAATTTATATAAGCCATCTTCCAGCCGCACTATGGCCCTGGGGTCGACTCAGCCTCTAGCAGAAATGAGTACCAGGAATATTCTTGGGGGTAAAGGGCAGTCAGCGCATAAGGCTGACAACCTTAGTGCCATCTATGAGCCCACTGTCTAGAAAATGTGGGAACCTCGACATGTCACAACCCTATGGGCCTCCACGACCTGTTCCAGGGATACCTTTACTTACTTTATATAGGCCATCAAAGTAATGGTATATGTACTGTGGCCCTAAATGATTATGATCATCAATCACCTATCTTGTTTCCAAATTAGTGTAGTTAAAGGTCAATGGTACGTGAGAAAGTATGTGCACTGGCTTCATATTGATTTTTTAAAACTAAATGACTATTTTCTAATTTACTGATGGCATTTATTATATTGTAGGAACTGCCCACATTCAAGCAAATGTTGCAGTGACAACGCAAGTATCATTGCTTGAATGTGGGCAGTTCCCCAATATAATAAATGTCATTGCTAAGCAATGATACTTACATTGTCACTGTAATGTTTGCTTGAATGTGGGCAGTTCCCACAATATCGTTTCACACTTGGCATGAATCTTATATTAATAAGTGCTTTCATCATCAGGGTTCATATAATTTTTCTTTCAACATGAACTTTCCAGTTTCCTTGTGTAGCTGTTCCTCGATTTATATGACCGATGTAATCCAATGCCCTTTTTCCCTTCATTCCTCCACAAACCCACATGATCTATTCACCTTTCTTCCCAAATCTTTTAATTGGTCAGCAAGCAGTTTACATTCAAATGAACACTTTCACGACCTAGTACCAGCACCTAAACCACTGGACAGATTTTCTATTTCAGTATGGGAGACGTTCATCAATGATCAGGCAATTGTGATATTCAACCATGTTGATCTATAATAAAGCCTGATTTATGTAAAGCTATAAGTGCACTTTTCCATGTATCCCTTAAACAGTTTTCTGGGTACTGAAATTTCATATGGAAGATTTCCAACCAGATGTTCTTGAACAATCCAATTTCTGGCTGTACTGATCCATAATCAAGCCTAGTACATAGGTGAGTCAATAAGTAAGTTACAAATTGATTTGGGGTACTACATGTTTGAATGAGGCACTTGAGGCTATCGCCACTAGATGGTAGCATTAATCCGGTGGCAACTGATGATAATCGATGTTTACAAAAGTGAAACAGCAGTTGCAAGATGGTGGCACCTCTGAGTGAGTGTACAACCTTGAGCAGCGCTCCGTTATGCGATTTTTGTGGGCAAAAGGTATGGAATCGAAGAATATTTATAAAGAAATTCTTCCCATCTACAGAGAGAAGTGCCTGTCACACAAGCTGTTTACAATTGGGTGCAGAAGCTCTCTGAAGGGCGGACACACGTTGAAGACGAAAACAGCATCAGCCGGCCAATGGAGATTGCCACAGAGGAGAATGTGCAATGGGTTGAAGACTTAATCTGAGCAGACAGAAGGGTAACTATAGACACTATAGCCACTGCTAATGGTTGTTCACAAGGCATGGCCTACCTCATAATGCATAATGCTTCAAGCGACTTCCATTTGTTTGGCCCTCTTAAACCACATCTTTGGCTGAACATTTTCCCAACGATGAAGCTATAGAAGGGGGAGTCACTGCCTGGTTCCGACAGCAGCTCAAAGGATTTTATGCCGCTGGTTTTCAGGGGATTGTGAAACAATGGAACAAGTGCCTCAATGTACAGGGAGATATGTTGAGAAATAAAAGCATTTTTCAAAGCAGTACTGTTATTTTAGTTCTATATCCATTTGTAACTTACTTATTGACTTACCCTCGTACATATAAGGCCATAAATGGATTTTCTTCCATGCAGCCAATAAAAGAATGCACAAATTTTGCTGAAATTCAATGTGGGACACATCTACCAAAAGCTGTTGGACAGCTCTGATTTTCAGCCATACTGATTGGTAATGAGGCCTAGTTTGCTTAAAGGCATAAATGGAATTTTCCATTTATTTTGTGCACACAGATTTTGTTAAAAGTAATTTACATTTAATTCTTTCTTCCAAGTAACCCTAATAATAAACTACAAAGAATCCTTTCCATTGTTACTTCCATCATTCATGTTCACAACTGAAGCCAATATGTGAAGGGAACAATACTATACAGTAAACCCTTATTCACTGCGGGATATACGCCCCTCAAGAATGGTGCATTCAGTGAATCAGCACTGGACACATTTAATGAGGATGACAGTTGAGCTCTATATTTACACTGTTGCATATGCTGAATAAAACCAAGTTTGTCATACAATACATACAAAAAAAGCAGAACTTTCTAGCATTTTAAACTACAGTGGTATTATATGTATGGTACTACAACATTTAGCGGATTATATATAATCAAAATATCTGCATTTGGCAAATTATTAGTGTTGTGACATGTTGCTCAATGGAGGACAAACCCTCCCCCCAGCAGTGACATGGCGGGTGAGTCAGCGCTCTGTCACCCCCCCTCTGCGCGGTGACATCCCACCCCCGCACTGTGACGTGGCAACAGCGAACGGAATAAAAGCCAGCTGAGCAGCAAGCGAGTTAGTGTGCGAGCAACAGTTCTCAAGGCAGCAGCCTACGAGTTGAGTTGGAATCTAGCCAGCAGAAAGTTATGAGTTAGTGTGTGATAATCTGTGACAGTTTGTGATAACTGAGAATTAATTGGGAGTGTGTGATACAGTGACACTTATATAGCTCCCGTACTGTGAAACGTGTAGACTACTGAGAACAGAGTGAATTGAATATTGTGAATAGGGTTATAAAGTGTGAAACCCCGCAACAGTGTTATAAATAATTGTAGCTGAGACTTGTAGGTTGTTGAATAAACCAATTAACAATCTCTACGGCGTCTTCAGTAATCTAAACACGTTACAGTGTATTATCAGATCCATGGAGGAGGGTATAGTCTGTAACATGCAATCCTTACATACATGTACAAATTGATCATCTTCTCAACAGACAGCCCTAGCAAACAGGAAGAGATCATCAACATATCTGAGTTTTGATAGCCAGATGTGGTGATTTGTGTACAACAGTTTTTTATGCTTAGCCTGGCAGTGTCAGTAATGATAGAAAACTAACCTTTGATGAGATCTGCTTGATACTGAGCTCTCAGAAGACCAATAAATTCTTGATAGAAAGCTTCAGACTTCTCTGTTGCCATTGCATTATGAAAATCCAACTTGTTACCCTTCAGGACATGATAAAGTGTAAACTGGCTTATGCAGAGGATCTCATATCCTTTGTCTTTCACACTTAAGTTCCACCTTTTTCCCCTCTCATCTTCAAAAAGTCGTATGCCCAGAATTTTACGAGCTCTGAAAATGAATACATTTTTTTAATGTTTGCATCCTGTTGTGTGAGTATAACTAATGATTCAAATTCCATCATCAGTGCAACTATAATTTATTATGTTCCACTACATGTTTTGACACTTATAGGGTCATCCTCAGGTGTTGTGATTTACGCATTTTCATTATTGAATTGTAAAGCATGTATACATATTTACATACATGGGCTTAAAATGATTACTTTCTATGTACATTTATATTCTGGCATCTAGATGTTGATTTAAATTCAAGATACATATGGAACTAAAAGTTGATTTTAAATTAATTTAAAAGTGTTGTATGCTGTATTCAGTTTCGTGTTGTTGTAGTAGGCCACACATCTTCTCATCTGATTCTTCTATTATTGGTTATATTTGTTTGTGTGAACTGTTTCTTAAGCACAAATTTATCTTCTTTCCTATTTCCAGGATGTTGATTGTTACTGCTGTTGTGTTGTCTAATTTATGTGGTATGGTCTGCTGCATGGTCTGTTCTACTTCTGGTTACTGCATAGACATATATACTCTAAAATACCAAATATCAATAAAATCCAACTGTTCAGGCACTATAAATTTCACATACAAATAACACAGAACTTAAAAGAATGTTTTCCTTTTGAGGGGGCTGGGGGTGCAATAACCAAATAAATCCAGCAAAATAACTGAATCTTTCAGCATGACAGCCTCTCATATATACTATGTGTCTGTATTCAGGGTTGCTGAAAATATGTAACTCCAACAAATTCAGATTGATTTTTTGAAACTGTTGCAACAAAATGTTAATAGGGAGTGTTGCTGTACTTTTGACATTTTTGGAGGCTAACAACTGACTGACTGCTACAGTGCGGTGGTCCTCGCCAGCATAGTGATTCTAGTTTCCAAGTTCCACAGGACTTATGACAATATAATACAGTCTGACAGCTGTGGGAGCCTTCAAACCCTCCAGTTTTACTAACAGTGTCTAACTATGTAGGATCTTAAGTTATCACAGGAGTAGTTATGGAGGGTGATATCTTTGGGGATATAATGCCACAGTCTGTTGAAAATCGACTGATGTTTCAGAACATGTCACCTCCATCTTCAGGATCGAAGAGTAAAGCAAGCAGGAAACCTGCAAGCTTCCTGCCTGCTATATGCTGACTTATTGCTTGGCTTACTATTAAAGTCTGAAGATAGAGGAGACATATTCCTCCAGAACATCAATTTGACTTTCAGCAGACTACATGGCATTATATAACTCATAATAGTTAACTGCCTTGTAGCACTTCAACAATATATTGCTTTAGTTTGGTTCAGGCATCTAACACCTGGCCTTAATTCTGGTGCTACGTGGTTTGTGTTAATATACCAGGAGACAAACTATATGCCAGTAAGTTATTCACAACCTGCCCAACGATTTAACTGAATGCTTCAATAATGGATAAAGTTGCCCCTGCATATAATTAAGCACCATGCCATACAGATGTGTGAGGAAGTGGATGTATAGCTCTATCACTGTTGGCCTCCACACTAGATGGAGGTAAGTCTAATACCCTAAAATAGTTCACAGCAATTAAGTTCCCAACCCTTTCAAGCTCTCCAAACACAATTGCCCTTTAACATTTGATGCTAAATAATCACTAGTCAGTACAGCATTGACAATTCAGGAGGAAAGGCCTGCTACATGTATATGGCTCCACTCCATCATCACTGTTCATAGCTGTGGCTTATTTTTGGTGTATACCATGCTCCAAAGTGCCAGTGTATGTTGTCTGAATTATAAACAAATAGCCATTACAGTACAATACAATTATTTTGTATATGGACATTATCCATCCCCGTTTTTATTTACAACACAACGTTTCAGAGACTGTTCTGTCTCCACTTTCAGTTGGACCCAGTCGATACAGCTAGTCCCTATCTCCGGACACCAGCACCAACATAAGACATATATATGTACAGTTTCCACAGATGGGGACTAGCTGCATCAATTGGGCCCAACTGAGTAGGTTCCACAAGATGAAACAGAATCCAGTCTCCAAAACCTGTGCCTGAAATAAAAACAGGACGATTGGTAATGTCCTGAAACAACTGTATTAATATACCAGTCACAAAATTTAGATCTTAATTACAGTACAGATCAGGTATTGATGGCTTTTATTTTTTTTATTGCTAGTGGGGTGGGACTGAGCCCCTTGTACTGTGGCCAATTCTGGCCTATTGTACCAGCCCCAGATGACAGGTGAGGGTGATTGTGGAGCAATTGGTGGAATGAAGATTGGCAAGGGAAACCAAAATACTCAGAGAAAACCTGCCCCAGCACCACTTTGTCCATCATAAATCCCACTTGACCAGACCTGGGATAGAACCTGGGCTGCTGCGGTGGGAAGCCAGCGACTAACTGCTTGAGCTATGGCGCAGCCTGTTGACAGCTTTGAATGAGGGATATAATGTGGGAGGACTATTCTGCGATCTTAAAAAAGCCTTTGACTGTGTTAACCATAAGATTTTGTTATCCAAACTGGAATTTTATGGTATCTAGGGATTAATGCTGAAACTAATAGCATCATTCTTACAAGGAAGATTTCAAAGAACAAGAATGCAATCTAAATATTACAATCTGAATACTTGCTCTGATTGGAATAATATCTCTCATGGAGTTCCCCAAGGTTCCATCTTGGGCCCTTTACTTTTTCTGATCTATATTATTGATCTCCCTTTGGTTTTAAACAAGATCTCTACCCCTATCCTTTTCTCTGATGACACCAGTGTTATCATAAGTGAATCCGATCCCTCTATTTTTCATAACAAGTTGAATAAAGTCTTCAAAACTTTAAATATATGGTTCAATATCAATTTATTATCCTTAAATTTCTCTAAAACACTGTATTATATTTGCAGCAAAAAGGCTTTTTGAACAAGATACAAAAATTGCATATGGTAATAACGAGATATCTGATTCATGTCACACAAAGTTCCTATGCATCAATATTACCAACACATTGTCTTGGAAGAAACATATTGTAACTTGTCTGGAATCCAGAAGAGTCACTTCTATGGAAACGCTAGAATAGACCGTTGCATAGGAAACAACAATTGCTCTATTGTAGTTCTAACAGGAGTCTCCACGGTTATAACAAAGGGTTCGTTGCATAGCAGTGACCAAGGTTATATAGCGGGGCTGGATGCATTCGACAGTCAGTCTCGCTATATAACCTTGGTCGCTGCTATGCTAAGAGAGTTCTCCTCTCTTCGCCCCAGGCTTTCCAATCGGCCATCAGCTGTGCGTGTCTGGCGTCCGCCTTCACCTCTATCGTTTCTTGGTAGGACCTCATGTTGGCGTCCATTCTTGCCAGCATTTCTTCTTTGTTGGTTTTTCTCTCTTCTCGCATGGCCAGCAGGAGTTCCATTATCTGTTGTGAGTCCATTATTTTTTTTTGAAGGACGCGTGTTAAAGTTCGAAGTCACTTCTGACACCAATGTAGCGTGTCTTGAGTTCGAATCTTGTCAGTCACGTGTGTAGTTCAATCCCACTTCTGACACCAATGTAGCGTATTTTGTGCATCACGCTACAAATAAGTTCACGCCGTTCTTTGGTATAGCGAATTTATTCTGTTCGCTCGCCTTACACATACTTTACAATCATTTGCACTTGCAGTGTTACAATCACTGCTCACAATATTCCGGCCAACACTGGAATCTCTTCTCTGGCAGTTATTCTAATACTGACTCCTTAGACGGCTATTCCAAGACTTTCTTCTCCGAAGGCCGATCCGAGACTGACTGTCGAATGCATCCAGCCCCGCTATATAACCTTGGTCGCTGCTATGCAACGAACCCTTTGTTATAACCATGGAGACTCCTGTTAGAACTACAATAGAGCAATTGTTGTTTCCTATGCAATGGTCTATTCTAGCGTTTCTATAGAAGTGACTCTTCTGGATTCCAGACACGTTACAATATTGATCAATGTTTACAAAACTTAGCACTTCTTGTTATGCAATTAGAACTGTCAAACCTTATGTTAATTTGGAAACTTTGTTGATGGTCTACTATGCTTATTTTCATTCCATCATGCATTATGGCATCATGTTTTGGGAAAATTCCTCATATGCTATTAACGTGTTCCACATGCAGAAGAGGGCACTCAGAATAGTGATGGGTATCGGTAGTAGAGATTCTTGTAGGCAATTGTTCATAACTTTGGGTATTCTCCCTCTTCAATCGCAATATATATATTCTTTACTGTCGTTTATGGTTAACATGGATTCATATCAATTTATATCTGATATACACAACAGAAATACAAGACAGGGTTATAATTTTAATCTTTATCAACCTTAAGCCCATCGGTCACTGTATCTCAAAGGAGCTTGTTATATTGGTATCAGGGTGTTTAATAATCTTCCTGTTTTCATAAAGTAATTATATAACAATCCTACAGATTTTAAACTGGCTTTGAAAACATTCTTATGCTAACATTCATTTTATACTTAGATGAATATTTTGATTTTAGATATGACAAGAATAATGATACTATTCACTTGTAACGACTGCCAAATGTTGTTATGTATTGATTATGTACGTTTTTATTGCACCTCCTATATGACTGTTTCCACATCCTCCATTATATGGATCTATGGAATGAAATAAAGAACTATGAACTACAAGTTTATAATCGTGTGAAATCTAAAGTTCCCGCGGCGGCAAATACGCCAATTACACTCCGCTGGGATATGATACCACATAGTTTGGGACATATGACTAGCATTGAGCTCCATTCCCCTGCATGTGCCCTGCATATGACGCTGCAGGGCGCCATCTACCGGAAGTCCTTAACCTCCATTTCTGTCGTCTTTTACAATACAGCCAACTTCTTTGCATTACAAATTTTTTCGCGTTGTTGTCGAGTTAGCGTGTACAACGACATTATTTTGTGTCAAAGATTTATTCTGACTGAATTGGAAACTTGTAATATGATGTACTATTACTGATACTTACATGTATTCAATATCCCTTTTGGTGTCATCTTTGGATATTCCAATTAAAACACAAAGACCTCTACCAATGGAACTAATAACTTCATCTTCGACTGCAAGCGAAAGATAATTATGATTCTTCACAGAGCCGTACAAAGTGCAAATAAAGCATATTTTCATAATTCAATGTCTTACCAGTCACAGTAGCTCTCATTACTCTCTGTACGATGGCTTTCATTTAAAAAAACAATTTGTACTTCCACTTCAGAAACTAATCTGCCGCTTTTTCTTGCGCTATGTATTGAAACCGCTTACTGGATCTGTGTCATTATATATTTCACTGCTGTAGGCTTACTAATCCCTGGCAGAGAAATTTCGTACCCGTAGGCCCCGCAGGGCAATAAACAAGGACGTTTAAAGCTTTTAAAGTTTGTGTGTGTGTGTGTAGGCTAGATGTAAAAGAGCGTAGAAAGGGCGTAGAAGGTCCAGAACGTCCAGAAGTCCAGAATTGTATTCGGCATGGTACGGTTGCATGCGAATTAAGGTTTATGGTGTTAGTGGCATCGGTTGTTGTATTTTCGGCAAAGTTTTGAAGAAATATTTTGCATGAATTTCGTAGATCGTAACAATGTCAAACATCTGCCCAAAAATTGCTTCTGAATCCTCGGTGTATGAGCTTACGAGTGTTTTAAATTTTCTTGGGAATGACAGAGTGGAACATAATATCAGTCGTATAATTTTAGGTTTGGTTTCGTCCATATCGATAGACGAAAACCCGGATGTAAAGAAATTGAATATATTGATGTCTGTGTTGAAAGTGAAATATAATTTGAGAGATGTAAAAGCTGTAGCAGGGGATAGTACACTGGACTATAACACCATATTTAATTTATGTGTATCATTACTGGATCACAGTAGTGACCTTAATGGTGAGTGTTTTTTTAGTCTTTGTAGTGTTCTTCAGCAGACATTACTCTTAATGGGGAAGGACACCTTTTATAGTAGTGTTACAAACATTGTGATGAAATGTAAACAGGATTTGACGTTGTTTGTGAACAGTGGAGACATTGAAGAAAGTAAATATGCATATACAAGTAGACCAGAAGTAAGTTTAAGAATTTTTGAAACTGTTTTTGCTGCACTGCTGCAGAAACAAGAGGTAGACAATACATTTAATCCAAATGAAATTGAAAAAAATAAGTTAGTGGATGAGGACATGCATAATTTGATTGCGAGCCTTGTTTGGTGTGGTGTGGAGCACATTTCAATTCAAACTTTGCAGTCTCTCATCCCAAAGGTGCTCATGTATGGCACAGATATCACTTTGCTCCAGAAAATATGGAGACATACAACAGAAAGCTTTCAAAGTGACCTATCACATACATTCCAAATTCTGTGCATCCTTGCACAATTTTATCTTCCCTGTGGCTCACAGAATGTTCAGATTAGCTACAATGTAGCAGAGGAGAATATCTTCTGGAAGATATTACAAAGTGGACTGATAAGTACCGATCCACTGGCTAGGAAGAAGGCACTGTACCTAATGAAAAGAGCTGTTGATGGGTTTTGTCACAAGAATACTTCTTTCACTCTTCAATGTCCTGATGCAGTTTTCTGGTGGGACCCAAATTATTCAAGTAAGATATGGGAGCAGTTCTTTCTTATTATTGAAAGTCTGGAAGAAAAGCAAGTCCACTTAATCAGGCCAGTTTTGCCAGTCGTTAACTTTCTTTCTACACCATCGAAGGAAGGAAAAGTCCTGCATATATCATTGATTTTATGTGTATTCTGTAGAATTATAAGCCATGACAACAGTTTTGTTGTTAAATGGGGAATTATAAACTTCGTTCGAATTCACAGAGAGTGTCATTTTGTAAGATACGGAAATACAATACTGGGATTCCTTGACCCATTAATGAATGCTGTGAATAATTCAGCTTTGTACAGTGGGAACCCTGAACAGTGCTGTGTATCTGAAGTTGGAGAAGCACTGCAGTATTTATTTGAGAGTGTCATTGTGGAATCTTCACATGATGAATGTCGTGCATTCTTTTGTTGCTTGCTGGATGTGATTAACTGCATTTCATGGGCTCCTGTGCCTTTGTTTAATGTAACTTATGCACTGGCATGTGTACCCAGTATTCCAGTCTGGGATGAGCAGAGACTTGGAGTAGTAAAAGATTTTATCTCGGAAGCACTCAGATGTCAATGCACATTCATTCGAGGGGCAATTCAGTGTATGCTTCTGACTACAACAATCCATTTTGCAGACTGTGACTCACTCAGTGTTTGCACAGTTTCACATTATCTGGGGATCTATAGAAGTAGCGAGTCGCTAAAGCGAGGAACGTCATCTTGGCATGACACTGTGGAGTGGATTAAAATGTTTGTCAGTAAGGAGGATGCAGCTAGGTTTGTTAACATGACACTTTCAACTTCAGCGGATGGGGTGTGTCTCAGTACAAGAGCAGTGGCTCGAATGGTTATACTGCTGTGTGATGCTGCACTATTGCCATGCTGTATGATGGATGAGACATGCTCACTGGCCAGATCGTTGTACACAGTACTGTCATGTTTCCACAACTGTGAGAAAAGACTGTATGCCAGTGAAGCAGTACAGAACCATGCTTTACAGCTGATTATGTGTTTGCTAAATGAAAGTCACACAATGAGTGGAGATGATTTGGTTAGGAAAACAGTATCAAGTCATGTGAACTTGATGATGGATCAGATATTTGCATTTATTAGTAGAAGAATGTCATCAGTTACACACTTACAAGATTACCATCTGGTGGACACCTACCTTTCTGCACTGAGTGTTTTTGCTGATGAGCCACGCCTCATGCCTGAGGTTAAAGCAAACCTCAGAAAACTTGAAGACATAGCACTACAGGTGCTAGTGGCACCCACCGCTCCACCCATGTGCCATTATTTCAGTATCAAAGCATTATCATATATATCTTACTGGTTGAGGAAACACTGTCATTGCACCTGTGCTGCTAGTAAGCCTTGTGTTATTTTACAAAGACAAAGCATACTGATAAGTCACATAGTCAGGAATGGGAAGTTGAATTCACCCCCTGTGAAGCAGGACACAGAGCTGAAGCTGACACGGGATTTACAAAGACTGTGGGGAAAGCTGACATCTGGGTATCTGGAAGCAGGTTGGTCCATTGTAGCAAACTTCTTACATTCCTGCCACAGTGCTGAGGATCAAGTTTTGTCCTTGAGAAATGCTGAGGACATTGTTAGTGATATTGCCATAGCACTTGAAATTGGAGGCATGAATGTGTTGGTACCACTGATGAATATTATGGAGAAGATGTTGCCAAAATATTTGATCAGTGAAATGTTCAAGCTGGTTTCTAGTTGTTGGAAAATGATATTTGAATTACGCAAGACCGAGTTGTTCTGGACAACCATGGAAGCATTCATACAGATGCTGTTCCAGCCATCAGTGATGGCTACTGCGACCTGTCGAGATCATTTGCTTCAGGTTAGTTTATCAATTTGGCTATACTGCTTTAAACGTAACGGCATGCTGCAGGGAACTCATTTGGACACTTTGACACTGGCACACCACCTATTAAGATGGGTAGCATGTAAGCTAGGAAAACTAACTACAGCTTGGAGGTGATGAGATTAGGTGTTCAGTAGGATTTTGCAGTGCAAGATTTGAACCCCCATGTTAGGTGGGTCCCTTGTCACTCGCGGCATGGTGGGTCCCAAGATTGCAGGTGGAGGAGCTGCGAATGTATTGAATAAGCAGTCGTGGATAGCCGACAATTGATGGTCCTCCACCTTGGGGGTTGGGCATGGAGCTGGCAATTCCTCACTGTAAAAAATAAGCTTATTACAAAAAATCACAAGAAGACCTAAAAGCATTATGCAGACTGTGGGATGTGACAGCACATAGTCCAGTAGAAGTTCAACATTCCTTTGAAACATCAGGAAATTTCTACCAGGCTACACATCCAAGAAAATGGTATTCTTCATAGTGAGCACTTCTAGAACGTCAGATCGAACATCACCTAGATTCTTCAAGCATATACCTTGCGAGAAACATCATAAAATATATTTTGTTCAGTCCTTTCATTTAAAATTTTAATCTGCTTCTTCATTCTTGAAACTTTCTCTCTGCTAACAGAGCCCAAAAGTTCATCATTGTTAATGCCAGAAGTGACCATCGGGCATGGTCCTGAGCAAGTTCAATATACATCTTGGCAACTTATTTCCCTAAGTTCTGTTCTCCCAACTAGTCACTCTTCTAACTTCTTAAAATGTTTCTGTACCAAATTTCTGCATGCATTCTTTGCTCTCCTCATCCCAGCTCGTGTGGAACCAATCTTTTATTTTGACTGCCCTAAGGAACCATATAAATAACACAGATTCTTGTTATGTGATGTCTTCCATTTGCTTGTGTGCATATAATTTCCTGAGCACTTTCTTTTGAAATTTCTTTTGCCTGAGGCTGTTTGAACAATGTTCCAGTACTCGGACAAAATTTTCTTCCATGGGCAAGCGATAACTGGCCTCTGTAACATGCTGGTCATGCAACTGCAGAAAGTGGTCACGCTTTCTTCACCGGACATTCTGGAGTATTACTGTACCATTATGGTGGAGGCCTTGACATTTGGACCAGTGCATCGACGGGACCAGAGGTCAGTGATCAGACATGCTTCTGCATATTTTGTTATAAAACTGTCATTTATGTGGCTTACTTTACTTGCTTTCTATAGATCTGACGCTTGGTCACTGGTTCAGAGAACACAAAGACTGTGTTTGGTAGTGGGGTCCAGAGGTGAATATATTGATCTAAAACAGATTAAGTATAGGGATTCAAGGAAATTGCATGATGACGAGTTTCATAATTTATCCTGTTTATGTAACACTGTTAGGTTGAATAATACAAGAGGGATGAGATGGATATTGCATATAGCGTGTCTGGGAAAAACAAGAAATGCATACAAGCTTTGTATGGTAAACTTGAAGGTAAGAAATAATGTAGATCTATGGGTGTTAATATTAAACTGGATCTTGGAGAAACAGATTATAAAAGTAATGTGGTTGAGGTGGCTCAGCATATTCGGATGGAGTTTTGTAATGACAGCGATGGAATTTCAAGTTCCATATCAACAGGAAATTTCTTAATACTGAATAAGTTTGAACTGATAAGTCATGTATTGTGCAGTTAATTATTGATTTGTTCAAATATAATACATAATACTTTTTTTCCTTCAGATACTGTGCCTCCTGTGCAGTTCAGTGAATGACATTTTCATGGCAGCTTCTCTAGGAAGCTGTCTGATACATTACCTGAATACACAGCTGTTTTTCTTGTGAAGTGTATGGAAAACAGAAATTGCATTATATTTGGAAAATTAGAGTAAATAGTTCTGTTAAAAATACATCTCTTCAGAGAATGTTTCAAACATTCATCTTATAAAAGATTTGTCTGTGTAGTGCTCCAGCTTTACAGGCGAAGGAATATTAGGCTGTGCAAGTCTTAAATTTCCAAGATGGAAGCAAGTATCTAAAGTATCTCAACCTCAATTTGAACATGGATTGTTCAATCTCAGACTTAAAAAATGTTTAGCTGACAACATTTGCTTTGAGAATCTCAGTGGTTGACGATGCAAAAACGAATGAAATTGTCAGAAAAATCTGTCTGAATCCCTTTTTCTGCTGATCTTTGTGTTTTTCTCAATTTCTGTATGTGTAATTGGGGCTTCACACTTCTGAGTACCAACTCAATGTAATATCAGCAATGCCAACTTACAAGTAGCACAGGATAAAGTGATTAGTGTTACAGGTTAAGGTTCTGGTGGGGAGGACTGGTCTGTTACAGAAACTTCTCATTCTTATCTCAGTTCTCTAAATTTTTCCAAACTCTGGTCTCAGTCTCATATGTGCTTAGATTGTATAATTTTAAGGCATGGATTCATTGAATGTTAAGAGTTTGAGAGGTACTGGATGGAGCAAAGCAGTTCATTAAAGTTTGTATGCATTCTTTTCACAAAAGGATAGAATTGTCACATAATGAAGGAGTGGGGAATCATGTCTTCCCATCCATTATTTGAATTTGTGTGATAGATTTTAGTAACAATTTACTCGTGGTTTACCTGAAGCTGAAAGTGAATTTTATAAAATTAGTCAGCATCTTAATAGATTTGCAAATTTGCAAAGGATTTAGTGTAGAGAGCACAAGATCTACAATGTTTATAAAAAATTATTTTTATATGTTGAATATTTAATGAATTATAAACGTATTTCTGACTCTTGTTAGTCAGTTAGTTAGTTAGTTATTAGAGAAGGTGGGTTTCCCCATGCACTTAGACCTGTAGTGGTCCATTGTGCTTCCCTCTATGATTTCTACCAGCCCCTCTATCCTACCGGTATTGGTGCTTACCATCAGCAGCTACAAGTTTGTATCTGAATAAATGAACAGCAAATCAAATACAATACGCAAAATAACAAGGACTGTATGGCGTAATTACACTACCTTCCTTCATTGAAGGATACTATCCTTACCACACTTGTTTTCATTTGGCCATGTGAGACTGGTCTCTGCACTCATAGTAATGAAGTATTCAGTCCTTTCTGGAGGTTATGTTTCTTTTCAGTTTATAATAACTTTGCATTGTTGTGATTCAAGTGAGCCTTATGTTGTGCAGGGTGATCATGGACACATGCAGGTTCATCTCTTCACTTGGCGACAAATGTTCCATCAATGAGCTGATCTCCAAGTAAGTGGTTAGTATCCAGGAACATGTCTGGTAAGTTAGTTCCTGAGAAAACCATGGTGTCTGCATCTTTTATATAATTACAGGTGCCTACATTTTTGATTCTATGAATTGCATTTAATTGCTGATTAAATTTTAGTTACATTTAGGTAAAAGTCATTATAGTTTGGCCAGCTTTGTATATTGTGTGTTTGACATTTTGGTTAATAAAGTTTAGTTGGAGTTTCCTGTTGCTTTTTGGCACCAATAATTTCTTCTAATTAAGTCTCACAAAGTGTACTGCATGTAATGCACACTGCAATTCTGTGCCTTTCCAATTAAGACTACAACTGTAGAGTAAGGAATTTGGAAGGAGAGTATTCCATGTGATAATAATTGTAGGAGGTGCTGATAGAGGTGTGAAAAGCTAAGCAACCTATAAAGGGTATCAAATTGCCTGTAAGAGTAGATGAAAGTTAAAAGGTTTCACATTGGTAAAAGAAATCAATTTTCAGCTTAAATATGATAAATTATGCAGAATGCATTCTGATTTGGATCTTTAAGAAGAAAAGGCCAGAATGTGCCAGGAAAATACATCAGAATACAGTAGACTCTCGATTATCCGCGGTAATGGCGGGGAGANTTACATCAGAATATTTATTGTTCATAATACCTTTATCTGAAACATGAACCTAGAACTTTAGCCCCATTTTATTAAGTAGGTATAATTTTACTTGATACCACTAGTTGAATGTGTTGGATTGCCAACTCTGTTACAGTGATTGCTGTGTAGATAATGAAGTACGGGCACGGGCTGTGCAGTTATTACTGTCTGCATGTGGCAGCAGCAGAAGTCACCAAGTTGCTGGAAAGCTGATGGATGCACTTATATTGAAAGACCAGACTGAATCGTCATGTAAGAATCGCTATTATGGTGACTCATACCTTCATCGCTTGAAACATCGTATCATGCAGAGCCTTCTGATCCTAGAACCACTGCTTGATAGAGTAAGTGTACCAGTGGTAATTGTCTTAGCTAAGACTCCATCATTGTCTGTTTAATCCACTTTGTGTCTAACAGATATCTATCTAATATGCATTTTCATACTATCTTGCTGTCCCATTCCAAGTCATCCAGTTCACTGCTTTCCTTACCAAACTTCCATATCCTGTCCTCACATCTGAGCTACAAGTATAATGTATAATCTCCCTGATTTCACTACTGAACAACAAGAACTGTACAGGATCACAAAATCCCTCACAGATGGCAGCAGGAGCACATCAGGTTATCATTTGCATTTTCCGTAAAAGTACATTTGTATTGACCATGTTCTGTAACATAAGAGTATATAGATGGGTCATGCCATAGCTGAAGCGGTTAGTCGCTGGCTTTCTCAGTATTGGTTTGTTGCAGGAAATGGCAGAAAAGCTTATGCTGTGGCTCCAAGACAGTCTTCTGATGGAAAGCCAACAGCCAAGTGTCCGCTACCAGCAAGAATGGCTTCTCGTAAGGCTTGTGTACCACCATCTTGACCTGCGAGATAGATTGTGGGACACATTTGAGCAGGTAAGCACATACGTGTACACAGAAGACAATACAAGAATGTGAATGCCCAGCACCACTTACTCCAAAGTAGGAGCCAATGAAATGCAGTTGGCATAGTGATGTTCAACAGGCTGGAGGCCTGGAGTTCAATTCCTGGAAGGGGCAAAGGATTTTTCTCTTCCCCATAAAGTCCAGACTGGCTCTGGGGACCAATCAGCCTCTTATACAGTGGGTACCAGGGTGGGGCAGATGGGTTATTTTCCAAGAGGTTAAGCAGCAGGAACACCTCTGTGTGGTGCTGAGATCAGGGATGGTGGAGGTATCCCTCCACCTCCTCATACATCTTCATGACCTTTACGTTTTACATAGAAAAATGTATTTTATAAACCCACTTTGCTTTTTTTTTTTTTTTTTGCGTGTAGGTACTATCCTACAGTGAAATATTTTGTAAATTCGCAATTCTTCACATATGTTATTAGCATCATGAAGACATCTTGCAGCCATTTAGCATATTCTTTGGTGTACATTATGCCACAGAATTAATGTACATATTTGAAAAGCTCTGTCTTATGAGATACAGTGCTATGTAGTCCATCCCAAAAAATAGAGTTCTTGATAACCACTGCTGTGAGAATCTTAAATCCTATATAATGTATTTACTTGATAAATCATGTGCTATCCAATGTGTACATATATTCCAAAGAGCTATCCACTTTTTCTAGTCCCTGATTTAGATTTTGTCCTCATTCTTCCATCATATTTCTGTTCATTTCTATTATCTTCTCAGTACCTTCTATCAAGATTTGTCTTAGTCTCTGTCCAGGTCTTCCTGTGTCTTGTTTAGCCTGCCATAACTGTAGGGTACATTTCTTTTTCTGTCCTATTTCGTTTCTCTTCACTATGTTCTGAATATCAGTGTTATGCCCTTATGGCCTAACAAAGGGAGATTTCAAATCCCAGGGCTGTAAGGTGACCCATCAAACTGTTGCAACCAAGAAAGTTGGTAACAAAATACAGTTTGCCCAACGTGTGGCAAGTCTCACCTGTAAAGACTGAACCTGCAATTGCAACAGCTGTAGTCAACTTTTGCTGTTAATGTAAGTTGAGAGAAATGCTGACTCACAGAAGTCTTCCATAATCCTTATATCAGTGACTATGGGCAATCTGATATCGGAACATTGTATGAGTAGCTAGGGTAGGCTATGCCTCATAGCCTACTGACGCTGTAACTATCATGCTACGGACGGAAAGCCACACCAAGAGGGTCATGAGACACAGACCGTGCCACTTCTTCAGTGCTGCACTCTTGTGCAACCAAGGTAAGTGAACCTGCGTCGTATTGCTGATGACCAGAGAGATGCTTCTAGGACACTGACCCAAGGCTAGATAAATATGAAATTATGTAACTTAACTCACCCTCAGATGAGTATAGACAGTGTAAATAAACATAGGCGATAGCGGACCCCCCATGTTACAAGTTTATTCCCTGGAATCCCAACCACCAAAGAACCAGAAACTACTGATAGTAATATATGGAGATAAGATTGGACAATGACCCTGAAGCCCCTCCTTGAAGGATCCCCAGTCCATAATGCCCTTTTAAGTGAACATAGCTTTCCAGGGTGGTTTACATGAACTAAACTGCCATCCCAAGGTATACAACAAGTGATAGCAATTGGGGTAGGAAAACAGACTACATCATAACAGTGTGTCAGCAGATGAGATAGTACACCACTGCATAGCAACCAGAAATCAGTATGTGATATAATATTTATGCTGTTCTGTGTGATTTTTTTCAGGCAAGAGAGAAACGGTCTGGCAGCATATGCTCATTCATTGCTGTTGCGTACCATGTGTCATGTGTGCTGAATGATGAGCAGGAAATGTTTGTGGAAAGGAGTGTGCATAAGATACTGCCTTGGTGCATGGCCCAGCACTTTAGCATGCGCCTCTATGCTCAGGTAACCATTATTCTGAGTGTATTTATGCTTCTTCTCTGTTATAGGCTTACAAACATATATAATAAATTGGTTGTCTGCATAAGCAGACATACCAGATGTTCTGAGTTTGCATTCCTCTTTGGTCTTGATATGCATTTCATGCTGGTGTAAATTCTGTTGTTGGCAAAGACAATCAGTATTAAAGATACTACACTGCTATCAGCATAATTTTTGTATTATATATTGTTAGATGTATATAATATTATATCTTCCCACATTATACATATCAGAACTTACAGTCTTTGAACTGTAAAGAGAAAATAATTTGTTGTATTTTTCATAATGTGATTTTGCTGCAACAATTGAAGTGATTGTTTTCATGTGGAATGACTTGCTGTGATCATAAATGAGAAGCTCCAGCAACTTAGTCAATTAAATCTTAATCTCATGCTCACATTAACATATGCAGACATACACATTCTGTGGGAGGAAGAACAGTTCAATTATTGTGGAGAATAAGAGACTTTGATAGTTATTATGTGTATTCAGAAAACTATTCTTGGTTCACACATATATTGGGTTTCTGGACTTTATCCATCATCCTGGTTTTTAAGATTACAAATAAAAACAGACGTTTCAGAAACTGGATCTGTTTCCGTCCTCAGGTGAAGGAAAAGGGGAAACACCTATTCTGTTGGGTCCATTATTCAGAAAACTATTCTTGGTTCACACATATATTGGGTTTCTGGACTTTATCCATCATCCTGGTTTTTAAGATTACAAATAAAAACAGACGTTTCAGAAACTGGATCTGTTTCCGTCCTCAGGTGAAGGAAAAGGGGAAACACCTATTCTGTTGGGTCCATTATTCAGAAAACTATTCTTGGTTCACACATATATTGGGTTTCTGGACTTTATCCATCATCCTGGTTTTTAAGATTACAAATAAAAACAGACGTTTCAGAAACTGGATCTGTTTCCGTCCTCAGGTGAAGGAAAAGGGGAAACACCTATTCTGTTGGGTCCATTAGAAATGTCACAAAACATGAAGATTATAAATACCTGAGACCAGGCTAAGTCCATGAGAGCTAATAAGAAAAATTTTCATAACAAACTGTTGCAAACACATACAAGCGTGGAACCAGGATAGCTAGATCTGTAGAAATTTATGCTACGAAACCAAACTCATAACCAGGTCCCTGACCCCACGGCATGGAATAGAAAGAAGAACTAGTAACAAAATTAGTGTCTAACTAGTGTCAACAATGGAGTAAATCACGTCAATCTAATTTAGAACTTAATAGAAATGAATAAAAGCAAATATCTCGTCATACAGATCTTCTATGTGAATTGGTGACTTCATTGCTGATAATGGGGATCCAAATGGGAGAAAAGTCCAAACTGGGTTGGCTAATTGGGTTGGCCAAGCATGCCATATGGGCCGCTTCCTTGTATTTCCTATACCTGATGTGGCTTTCAATATCCAAAATCTTAGCTTCATCCCAGCCTACCCTATGTCCCTCTTCATAGGCATGTTGGGCTAATTTAGATTTTTCTAGAAGACCTTCTTTTAGGTTATGCCTATGTTCATGTTTTGTGACATTGGTTTGTCCAGTGATTGAGGCTAGCTCTTTCTAACGGACCCAACAGAATAGGTGTTTCCCCTTTTCCTTCACCTGAGGATGGAAACAGATCCAGTTTCCAAAACATCGTGTTTTTATTTGTAATCTTAAAAACCAGGTCGATGGATAAAGTCCAGAAACCCAATATATCAGTGTGTTATACACCATCGTCAGAATCCTATAGTAACTACACATATTCTTGGTTGTTCAGAAGTTAACAATTCAGTGTTGAATATATAGTGGAACCTTGAGAATTTACAAAATTCCCGAAATACTCCTCATAATGGATGCTCTTATTATCAAAAAAATGATTGAAATACATAACTACAAGTTTGTCTCCTGTGTTTTATTATGTCTGAAACATTATGACACTAAGGTTTAAAGAATAATGTGGGTACAGCAATATTTCTTCTTTTTTGAAGTATCATGGGGATGTGAAAATAATGAAGAATAGTTTGGCATTCTCATAACTGTTAGCATTATCTGAACCAAAACGTTAAAGATTTTATTGAACTTAACATCTTCTACTCACAACTGACCGCCAATTAGGAGCTGTCTTGTATGAGCATACGTCCCACCCACTATATTCTGCATGCCTGCAAGCACAAATAATTGATTTTCCACTATCAGTGTACTGTGACTTATGAGTCCTCTCCACCGTCTGGCTATAGTTTGCTGCATATGTATACATGTGAAAATACCTGCATTGACTTGCATTGGACTTTGGTAACAGACATAACACATAAAGTAGTTTAAATCACACCAGTACTTATGTATTCACACTGCTTCATGTCTTGTTATAAACATCGATTGGCATACATACAACTTTCTGCTGTTAACATGCATAAGTGATGGTTGTGAATCAACCGTTATACTTATTGTAAATGCGTGTTATGGTAGCTACACATGAACTTTACATGAATCTATAACCATTTATTTTTCTATCAGATGACCTGTTTATGGTACCACACTTGTAATGAAATTAGTCTTTTCTTTTTTTCAAGCTGCTGACTTCACACAAATGATTATTTCAAGTTTCGTATTCATGTTTGAGCTCTTCTGTTTTCATTGCCATAATTAGCATTTTTAAAAATTTTGCATGTATTGCCAAGTGAAACGCAAATGTTTGATATAATAAAACCTTGAACATGCATGTATGTACACTCAACTCTCGATTATCTGGGGCGGATAATCCGGTTTGTGGCTTAACTGGGGTACCGGGGCTTTTTGAGGCTTATATGTTGTTTAATATTCATTCACTTTTGTTTCACATGGTGAGTTGTAACACTATTTTCACACTAGTGTGAACCGAGCTCCACATTTTTTGGTCCCGTTATGCTAACACAGTGTTCTAGGGTAGGGGTGAAAGAATGCAAGGATTTGTGGAAAGTTTCAAGGACAGATACACCGCCCCATTTAGTCTCTTTGTATCGATCATCAAGTGCGTTAGCAAAATGTCAGGGTGTAAAAGGAAGCGTGTTGTGTTAAGTATTCAACAGAAACTTGAAATTATCAATCAGTTGGGAAAAAGAGGCATAGTTAAACAATTAGTAATGCAATACAGTATTGGAGAACAAACTGTTCGTGATTTGAAAAAACAAAAGAATCAATTAATTTCCTTTGGTTCATCTTCTAATTCAAGCGGAATGAAGAAGAGAAAAACCATGAAAAAATCAACATATGATGATCTCGACAAAGCAATGCTGATCTGGTTTAATCAACTAAGGGCACAGGGAACAACAATAACATGAGCAGTTTGTGCTAAACGAGTGAATTTTTTTTCTGAAGCACTTGAACTACAAGGAAGTTCTGACGCTTCTTCTGGTTGGCTAACACGTTTCAAGCAGCGTCATGGAATATGAGAAATTAGTATTCAAGGTGAGAAATTGTCAACGGACTTGTCATCATCGGTTCAATTTTGCACCAATTTTGATAGTTTCGTGAAAAGTGAAAATCTGCTGCCAGAACAAATCTATAATGCCGATGAAACGGGTCTTATTGGAAATGCTTGCCAACCAGAACTTTGGCATTTCAAAATGAAAGACAGGCTCCAGGTCACAAATCCAATAAGGAGAGATTGACAGCCTTGTGCTGTTCTAATGCATCAG